CAGCTCTGGGGAGTTGACTCTTTCCCTCACAAGGACTGGGAGATCAAGCCCAGCGCATCAGGCTCTAAGGCCGATGCTGAACTATCTTACTGCCCTCCTTGCTCTTGCTACATGGGTACCAGGGATTAGAACTCAGATCCTCATGCTTGTGTACACTTTATTGAATGAAACAACTCCCCAGCCTCCACTCACATACTTCTATCAGTAGTTTTTCAAGCATCTACACCTCAAACACAGTGAATGGAACAAACTTCTTTCCAGTGTAATCATGATTAGGGCTTTCCCCACATACCTTTGGAGAACAAGAAATGTACAGTCCCTGTCCCTTGCAGGAAAGTGTTATTTCAGGCAAAAGAAAGAAGAGTGATGGGCACATTGCAAGTGGAGGGCTCTCCATGCTACTCACGGCACTGGCATGCCCAGGACACTGCTCCCACCACGCCTACCCTGAAACCTTCAGCACTGAACCACTCGAAACCACTGAAGGAGCTGGTGAGATGGCTCAATGGGTGAAGCTAAGTTCAGTTTCTCAGAATCCCTATGATGGAAGAAGAATCAATTCCCCAAAGCTGTCCTCTAACCTCAAGAACACACATAGAGGTAGACAACATGCACGTACATACTAACACACAGTTGCTAAGGTAAACACAAAACTAGAACTAATAATTCTAATTTTGTGGCCAGGCAGTGGTGGTGGTACAACTTTAATCCCAGCACTCGGGAGGCATAGGCAGGTGGATCTCTGTGAGTTCGGGGCCAGCCTGGTCTACAAGAACTAGTTCCAGGACAGGCTCCAAAACTACTGAGAAACCTTGTCTCAAAAAACCAAAATAATAATAATAATAATAATAATAATAATAATTTGGTTTTAAAATCCAATCAAGAGATATTTTGCTTTTTGAGACAGGGCCTCACCCCACAGAGCAGTCTGGCCTCACACTCAGGCTCGTCCTGAACGCCTGGCTACAGAAGTATACCATCACATGTATACCATCACATCTGGCCAACCTGTGGAAATGCTCCATACTAAGTACTGAATCGAGAGCAAGATGGGCCTGAGAGTAAGTCTGCCTGTCTCCAATTCACTTGAGCACTAACTCCCAGACCAGATGGACAGACAAGTGACAAAGCAAACACAGTAAATTGTTAACAGCGCACACAGCGGTCAAGTGGCCACTGTGAAAACCTGTCAATTTTTCTGCAGCTTGGAAAATTTTCATAATAAAACATTGAGGTTCAGAAAGCATCATCTGCAACAAAAAAGTACAAGGGAAATGAGTGCCTTAACAATTTTATCTTAAGCAATAAAAAGTGAAAATAAGTGACTCAACTCAGGAGGCCATGAAAACGAAGACAAAAGCAAGCAGAGTAATTCACTAGCATACAGCCACCAAAAGAAAGTAAAGACTGTAAAACAAGTCTAAATCTAAGACTCTTGCAGGAAAGGATCAATCAGTTAGTTTGAGTGGATCTCATCAGAATTTTCAATCTTGTCAGAATCTGAGCTAAAACATTTATGTCAAAGAGGAATGTTATGCTTCTATTTATCCTAGACTTCTGATTGAAGTCAATTTGAAATCTGCATGAAATGGACATATTTTTAGCATAACATAAATTGGCAGAACTAAACGAAAAAGACACAGAAGTGCCAAGGCACAAACGATCTCCAGGCCGTTCACACTGTTCTAGCCGCGTGCGGAGACACGGAGGCATTTTAGTGCATCTGGCACAAAGCTGACTCCAAGAACAACAGGCAACTGAAAGAAGTCTGCTTCAGCTAAGGCACTGCAAGCCCTCTTCAAATGCCAAGAACGGGGAACACTGGCTAAGGTTTGGACACTGCTAAGATTACTCGTGGCATCAGAAAGTCAGAGAAACTTGCTCAGCCACATCATCATGCCAAAAATTCATCTCAGAAGTAAACAGCCCTTCGGAGTAAGAAAACAGCAGTCCGATAAGCAAGAAATAGAGACCTACTCTAAAAAACATAACAAACAGTATCTACTGCAAAGCAATGACATCATCCTTAGAAAGAATCATTGTCTCTTCCCAAAATGTATTCAACAAACATGTGCTAGCCCCAACATCTTTACCTCCTAGGGATTAAAAGACATTAGCATAATAACCCATCTGAAAGGGTTCTGCAGACACCATTCTGTTTAACTCAGCAGTTTGCAAACTCATTTAACTGTGGAACTCTCCTCTCAAGGTATGACACTAGCATTCCAAAGCATCAGGGCTCCGGAGCGCACATCCTGATAAACACTTCAGCTAAGGCATCCCATCAAGGCTTCTAAGACAGACAACGCTTTCTACCATCACCATTCTTTCTTCTCCCTTCCTTTTTTTTTTATATATATATATATATTTTGAGACAGGGTCTTGGTCTCTCTCTACATAGCCCTGGCTGTCCTACAATCCATTATGTAGACCAGGTCATTCTCAAATCCATAGACATCCATTTGTCTCTGCCTCTTGAATACTGGGATTAAAGGTGTGCACCACCACACTTGGCTCTACCATGCCCATTCTTTATCTTTCCTTTTTTTCTTTTCTTTTCTTTTTTTTTTTTAGTTTTTTGAGTCAAGGTTACTCTGTGTAACAGTACTAATTGTCCTGTAACTCAGTTTGTAGACCAGGCTACAAACCTGCCTCTGCCTCACGAATGCTGGGATTGAAGGTGTGTGCCACCAAGCCTAGCTACCATGTTATTCTTAACATTTTTGTATTTGGAAGTGAGCCAAAGCAACAAGGGAAACTGAAGGCACACACAACCATTTAAGAAAGATGGAAGAAAGGCTGTGGTGGTGTTCACCTTTAATCCCAGCACTCAGGAGGCAGAGGCAGGTGGATCTCTGAGTTTGAGGCCAGCCTGGTCTACAGAGTGAGTTCCAGGACAGCCTGAAACTCTATCTTGGAAAAACAAAACAAACAAACAAACAAACAAAAAACAAAAAGAGAAATAGAAAAAAACGAATTACTGCTTACATACGGATATCGACTATTTAAAACAAAAACCACAAGTGATCACTTGCTATTGTGTCAGACTGAGGGACAACCGGCAACACGGCAGCACGGGGTTATAAGGAATCTGGGGCCATAAATAAAATAGGGCACAAGGGAGAAAAAGGCATTATCTCTTTTTACAGTGTACATGAGAAAGAGAACACACACATGTGGGAGCCAAAGGACAACTTGTGGCAGTCTTTTCTCTTCTTTCATCATGTGAATTTCAAGTATTGAACTCAGGTCACTAGGCTCGGTAACACATGACTCTCCCCAGTGAGCCATCTCATTGGCCCACTATTTTAATAAGGAGTTTTTATATGGGCAAATGAAGACATATATCTCAGCTGTGAGACAATGCTATAGAGAAGAATGCTGTCTTAACTGAATTCATAAATAGAATGCAGGCCAGTGGAATTTTTTGTTAAGTTTCTTTAAAAAAATGATTTAAAGTCAGCAGGTGGTGGCACACACCTTTAATCCCAGCACTTGGGAGGCAGATGCAAGTGGATACCTGTAAAACCAGGCTGGCCTGGTCTACAGAGCTAATTCTAGGACAGCCAGGGCTATACAGAGAAACTGTTTCTCGAAAAACAAAGCACAAAAAGACTTAAAAAAAAAATCTATTCTAGAACACTGATGCCCCATAGCACAAGTCACATGTGTTTAGTGCTCTGGTCCCCAGCACAGCACCAGAGCTCAAGCATGGCTGCCTCCACTGTTGGACAGCACCCAGCCTACCTAGCAGTTACACGTGTGAAGTGAAATAAAGTATTCAATGTAGCGCAACAGAGCAAACATTACTACAAGGCATTTTAAATTTCTCATCATTCCACAACAAATCCTGGCTACACAGCAAAACCCTGTCTTGTAAAACCAGAGACCCTGTCTTGTAAAACCAGAGAGAGAGAGAGAGAGAGAGAGAGAGAGAGAGAGAGAGAACAGAAAATGTAACCAGACGGAATGTAACAGGGTTAACAAACTCACTGGTATATACAAGCTGGGAGTCTGCTGTGTGTCAGGCACAAGCATCCAGGGGAGTGGCACTCCTCTAGCCATCAAAA